ATTTCGAGAGGGAGTCCAGGTCTACTCCCATGGATCCCTACAGCGAGAGGGGGTCCAGGTCTACTCCCATTGGTTCCTGTGGCGAGAGGGAGGCCAGGTCTACCCCCCTGGATCCCTATGGAGAAGGGGAGCCCAGGTCTACTCCCACGGATCCCTATGGGGAAAGGGAGTCCAGGTCTACTCCCGTTGGTGGAGTCTGGGTCTACTCCCACGGATCCCCTCTTTTTCTTTTTTCCTTTCATATACATATACTATTTATTGAGTTTTCCAGGTATAAACAGTACCATAATAGCTTACAGACCACAACGTCACCTAGAAACCCTTTTTAACGGCGACCCGATCAAAGAAGAAATCTGCTCGTATCCGTCCGATTCCATCTCACTCGTTTGATTTGGCGCCATCCGTCACTCAGGAGTCTCCTTCGTTCCTCACCGCGACGGCGACGGTGTTCCACTAGCTCTCGTCTGATCCGATTAGCTGCAGATCACTTATCTTTGATAGAAACGTATAAGTTGTGGGAATGTATTTTATCCTTATGCGTCTCATCATTCTCTCCGCTTGCTCGGATCGAAGACATGGACGTGGTCCGAATGTAAGACTTGTCAGCCTGTGTGCTGTTGAAGCTGTATTGGATTAAGAAAGACCTGTTAGCCCGTGTGCTGTTGAAGCTGTATCGGATAAGATCGATATCATTATCGAATATAATAAGACAACCAGAGATTCGAATTCTGGTCGATAAAGAGTTCAATCGAAACGAACGACCCCTCGAGGTGTTCGTACTTCTTGTTCTTGTCGATGTCATCTTCTGTGGGTGACGTCCTGTGTTTTGAAACAACAAAAAGGATTAAACGTCACGAAGCATCACTGTTACCAAGTTTATGATTGTCTATTTACTGTAATTTGTGAACCTTGCGGCAATTTCTTATCTCTCCATGTGTGTTGTATGAATTGCTGGTCCCCTTATTGTTTAATTTCGAGAGGGAGTCCAGGTCTACTCCCATGGATCCCTACAGCGAGAGGGGGTCCAGGTCTACTCCCATTGGTTCCTGTGGCGAGAGGGAGGCCAGGTCTACCCCCCTGGATCCCTATGGAGAAGGGGAGCCCAGGTCTACTCCCACGGATCCCTATGGGGAAAGGGAGTCCAGGTCTACTCCCGTTGGTGGGGTCTGGGTCTACTCCCACGGATCCCCTCTTTTTCTTTTTTCCTTTCATATACATATACTATTTATTGAGTTTTCCAGGTATAAACAGTACCATAATAGCTTACAGACCACAACGTCACCTAGAAACCCTTTTTAACGGCGACCCGATCAAAGAAGAAATCTGCTCGTATCCGTCCGATTCCATCTCACTCGTTTGATTTGGCGCCATCCGTCACTCAGGAGTCTCCTTCGTTCCTCACCGCGACGGCGACGGTGTTCCACTAGCTCTCGTCTGATCTGATTAGCTGCAGATCACTTATCTTTGATAGAAACGTATAAGTTGTGGGAATGTATTTTATCCTTATGCGTCTCATCATTCTCTCCGCTTGCTCGGATCGAAGACATGGACGTGGTCCGAATGTAAGACTTGTCAGCCTGTGTGCTGTTGAAGCTGTATTGGATTAAGAAAGACCTGTTAGCCCGTGTGCTGTTGAAGCTGTATCGGATAAGATCGATATCATTATCGAATATAATAAGACAACCAGAGATTCGAATTCTGGTCGATAAAGAGTTCAATCGAAACGAACGACCCCTCGAGGTGTTCGTACTTCTTGTTCTTGTCGATGTCATCTTCTGTGGGTGACGTCCTGTGTTTTGAAACAACAAAAAGGATTAAACGTCACGAAGCATCACTGTTACCAAGTTTATGATTGTCTATTTACTGTAATTTGTGAACCTTGCGGCAATTTCTTATCTCTCCATGTGTGTTGTATGAATTGCTGGTCCCCTTATTGTTTAATTTCGAGAGGGAGTCCAGGTCTACTCCCATGGATCCCTACAGCGAGAGGGGGTCCAGGTCTACTCCCATTGGTTCCTGTGGCGAGAGGGAGGCCAGGTCTACCCCCCTGGATCCCTATGGAGAAGGGGAGCCCAGGTCTACTCCCACGGATCCCCTCTTTTTCTTTTTTCCTTTCATATACATATACTATTTATTGAGTTTTCCAGGTATAAACAGTACCATAATAGCTTACAGACCACAACGTCACCTAGAAACCCTTTTTAACGGCGACCCGATCAAAGAAGAAATCTGCTCGTATCCGTCCGATTCCATCTCACCCGTTTGATTTGGCGCCATCCGTCACTCAGGAGTCTCCTTC